TTAATTGACCGTCACCAGCTTTTAAGTCACTAAATAAAAAAAAATATGGCAACAACAAGGTTGTTCACAATGTAGATCACAATGTATTTTGACTATGATTTTAAAAATGATTGAATTATAATTTATATTAAAAGATAGTGTTATGATAGTATATTTGAACTCGCGACGAAAAACCACTAATATAATATTTTTGTCAAACGTATTCATTATAATTGGTTATATTATAATAATATATTTATGTAAATCTAAATACTGAAATAATATTTAGTCGGGCCGAAATGATTGGGCCCAGAAAAAATGTACACCGCATATATTGGTAAAATGTCTATATTATTTGCCGGGGGCTCCGAAATTCCGAGATTTTTTGTGGCGTCGAGTTGGCTATGCAAACCCACATTATATAATTTCCACGGTCATATTATGTAGTTATAAAGTTTATTTTTAAAAAAAAAACTTTTTATATTTTATATTTATATGTAAAATGTTTGAAATTTGTTAAAAAAAGACAATAATGTATTATTATTTTATTTTTTAAATGTAAGCTTTCTTATTATTAAGTCAGAGAATGACCTGTCATCTTCTTATGACATTTATTTAAAAAAAATATTTTATATTTTATGTGTATTAATGTTTGAAATCAGTTTAATAAAGTACATTCATTTAAAAAATTTTTAAATTATGTATTTTTTTTTACCTGTACACTGTAGTAGGTATCCTGAATATTTTCAAAATTAAACATGAAATTATCTCATATTTATCTAGATAAAAATTATTACAGTGATCTTTATCTTTATCTAGATAAATTATTAGTTATCTATTCCCAACACTGATTATGTACATATTATTGACGCATTTAATACTATTATCGTAAAAATATTACTTTTGGAGAACAATATGATTTATTTGTATAAAAAATGTAAAAGAAAAAGATTTCGTGTCTAGATGTTTTGATTTTTTTTCTACATTAAGTCCCTATTCAACGTTAAAATAGGAGATGTACCTATCCATTATATTATATAGATATTAGATAGTGCCTAATATATTTTTTTGCGGGGTGTGCGTATATGCATGCCCACAAAAGAGCATCATAATAATTGTTATTTATTATAGTTATTACCTACGTCTTATTACTATATAATAGTACAACATCGAGGCAATAGTTGGTTTTATTTTTCTGTTTTTCGGGGCGGCGATGTGCAATAATATACAATGGCGTGAGGCGATTTCACACTTGGACCCACTCCCCCCCCTTCGAACGACAATACAGTATATACCTAATACCTACGTCTTAATATTATATCTATATATAAATATATAATATATATTTGGTATCATATATTATATTATCATGTGATATTACGAGGTGTGCGGGACCGACGACTGCGGGTACTTTGTACACATCGGAGAATTCCAAGCACGTTTACTTATATATACCCGGAGCAAGAGACGACGCTTTTAATTGGACTCGCTGGACACGCCTACTTCGTACACTGCCTCCGGCGGCGGCGGTATACCGCTTGCTCGCGCGCGAACGAACGGTGACGGACGGACGGACACCGCCGCACAAGAACGCACGCACGCGCTACAGCCCGTCGCATAGGTATATAATAGTACCTAATATGTGTCCGAAACAAAATCCGTATACGGCTTCTCGTCCGTCGGACGCCACGCGCGATATAATATTATATTATTATGTATATACGCGGGCGGCCACGCCACCATTTTACCGATCGGATTACTCTCCCTCTCGACACTATACATATTATTATTATTATAATATAAACATATAATAATGGTGTGCGTATATCCCTCTTCGCACGCCGCCGAGGATACGACAATATTATACCCCCCTAGAAAATCCGATATTCGTTTTCACTCCCGGCCGACCGATAGCCGCGCATGCGGAAATAATAATATGGGTAATATATGCGATATAATATATATATATTATATTATATATTTATATGAACAGACTTGGGACTTATGGCGGCGATGAGTGTGCTCGCGTGTATGTGGATAATATATTATTATTATGATATCCAATAATATAGGTTTACTATACGGAGGTGTCGCGGTCGGACGCGGATACATAACAATATAGGTATTACCCCCTAGAACAGGGGACGCCAACCTGCAGCACCTTGGTCTATCACGATCGACTAGTCGATATTTATAGAGGAATAAATTAGGTTGTTCATATAATAAAAAATAATTATGGACCATTATCAAAAATTGAGGGAATTTAAAGTTTGATCTGGATAAAACGATTTTGGAACTGGAAATAATAACATTACAAAATCCTTCTGTATTTAAGATTTCCAGGGCATTTTAGAATTAACTTGATTATACCTGATTCAACATTTTCGAGTATGACATAGTTACTTGAAGAACAAACATCGTTTAACAATGACAACAAATTATAATTTAGATTCAATTTAAAAAACACTTCATTTATATCTGTTTTTATATATTATGTACTAAGTTTCTCAAAGTTCATCATTAATATGTCAGCTTGAAAGCTAAAATTCAATGAAAATTTCAATCATTTTCACTCGCCAGATGATCGCCATGTATTATTTAATAATAGGAACAGACTTGAGACTTGCAATTAGTATGCATGAGTAATATAATGTACCTACATATCTACGAGTTACGACCTACCTATACAATATCCGATATATATAAGGCAGACGGCAGTGTTGGCTGAACTATATATTATGTAAATAATATAAATAATGTACATGATAATAACTTTACGATGAAAAAGCGTGTAAGTAAATTATTATATAGGTGTGAGTCGTCAGGGGAGAAACGCGCGTGCGAAGGGAATATAATAAAAACAAAATTCACGTGTCCGAGCGCGTGCATAAATTAAACGGGGGAGGCCCACCGTGTTTTCCTATTTACTCGTGTATAACCAACGAGGGGAAATCGGAAATCGTTGTGGGCCACCCTGTAAGCATTAAGTTATAAGTATATATATAAGTATATGAATATAAGCTGCAACTATATAGTATATTATTATGTCGTGCGGCGGTGTCTATAAGGTATAAACGGGACTATATACAATAATAACTCAATCCAATCTTGCGTGCGATCCAGGGAGGGCCGCCACCACCTGATTATAACATGATTTTAACACGGGACGACGGTAATATAATATTTATAACTTATATAATATTATATATGTGTGTGAGTAAAATGTATATAATATTGATACAGCCCTCGCCCCGCGACGGACCGATAAACGTCCAATAGTTGTTTCCGGAGGATACACGTGGCGGGAGGCGGATGCATAGAAGAAAGGGGCATTTGCGAATCGGAATTATATAAAATAATATACCACAATATAATGTTATTATATTCTAATAATATAATATAATATGTCGTATCGTGCTGTCGCGGTGTTTCCCATCGTATTTCCGCAATCATTTTAATGCATACGGGAAACATATAGTAGAAATAGACGCTGTAGACGCTGGCCACAGCAACACGTATAAATGTATATAATGTTATAATATACCGGTCAAATCGTCCACTCAGAGTTTGTCACCCAAGACGGCGTTTTATTTATCGTACAAGCGCGCCCGTATTATTACGTCTACTTACTTACTTACTCACGAAGCGCTGAACCGTAAAACTTGTTTCCTATAAAGTTTCTAAAACCCTTTATACACCGAGTATTTGCTGTGATATATAATAAATAAGAGGAAACACGACGGATCTGCAGCGTTTCGAATGTATACTTAAGCACTGCGTCCGAAAATAAGGGAGGTCAAAATAGTGTTTCAAAACTTATATACATAATATAATTGACAGGATTTATCGGCGGCGGTATATGGTGGCGCGGCAGTGCAGGCGGTCGCGTGAACACCAATACAGCTGCTCCACGAGTCGGCGATGGACGTTAATTAATTTTTTTCGGGAAATGCGTCACTTTTGACGGCTAGTTGACCTCTTTTGTTGACAGCCATGTGTACCTCCAGGGAGATTCAAAATTAAAATATTCTTTTTAAACGAACACGGATAAAAGTTTCAACTCGTAGTCATGTTTGCTTATTGCGGTTTGGTCGAGATTTTCAAACAACCGAATATAATTAAATAATAATACATACCTAATTGATATTATAAAAGAAAAGGTATTTTATGCGGAAATAATGCCACAAATCTGTTTTGATTTTATATACCAACTATTATATATATAAATTAACATGCTACAATAGAGTTGTGATGCGGCATATAATAAACGATTAAAGAAAATCAATCAAGCGTTATCCAACGAGACGGACAGAGATAAGGAAAGCCAATGGTTTTCTCTCTCGGGAACGAGGTTTCTTTGTCTAGGGATGTTTTCCTAGGGAAATCTAAAGGTGCTGGTCCGATAACGAATAAATGGCATTATTTTCGGGACGAGCATACGGTTTTTAGCACGCGGAGGGGTGCAAGATCGTAAAAGAAGATTACCAATAACGTACCATATCGGGGCCCACCCGGTCATATATGTGAGTTTCGATAGGGTATAGAATCGAAAAATCCATTAGCCTCTCCAGCCCCGCTGCCGAAGACGACTATCACAGTATTACCGAGGTCACTATACAAGACTCCGTCGTTTTAATCCGTTCCACATGTTGTCATACTGTTTCAGTGGCATTTTTATCGGCATCCATAAAAACAAATACGAAAATTCGAACGGGCACGCGCACTGATTCCGTACAATATATAACTATAATATAAGTATAAGTATATAATTTAAAATCTGTCATCTCTTCGGGGCCAGAGATGATGCTGCAGCACCAATCCGGTCCATTTAACATCAAAACACCATATAATTCGGTCGTAGATTTTTATGATATTATAGATTTTATCTAGTGGAAAAATACGCCAGTAAAATGTATACCAACATGTAAAACTATTTCCCTCAACTCCCCCTCCTCCTCACTCACCAATAAGAAATAAAGAAAATAGTGTTTACATAATATTGTATAAGATTATTGACTCACCCCTGCTGCGTTGGCGTCCGGTCCGTAAGGGTACGTAGTCCACCGTAGACTAGGCTCCGTCGTAGTGTCCAAAAGTACGACTGAAACAAACAAACAACACCTATTATAATACATACAATACGGACGCTTGACTAAGGCTTACAAAACACATAATACAGGTACAATCATGACAAATTTGATAGGTATCATCACAGGTATTTTGATACGCATCCTCCCTCTATACTTCGCCTTTATATCGTAGTTCTCCACTTCTTATTGGCTATCAATCATATACATACATATATAATACATAGAACAACATCAACCAATAAGAAGTGGAGAACTACGACATTGGCCGGAGGTGAAGAAGATGAGCATACTGCACAAAACTAGTACAACTGTGATGATGCCTATCTAATTTGTCATGGGTACAATATGTACAATTTATTTATACAACGAAAAAACATTACTTTCTAACGGTTATTGGAAAAGATACCAAAAACGCCCAACGTTATCTACCTATAACTATAATATATACCTACCTAAGTACACTGCTATAATAGTGGTGGGTTTATTTATGTATATTATATTACCTCCAGGTCCCGGTATTGTACATAATAATAATAACAATACTTAAAAATAATATATAATATTGACGTTTTCTAATATACCTAATTATTAATTATATATATTATTTACAGTGTTTCAGCGCTGCAGCAGTTGAATAAGTTTTGGAATTATTTCACACAATTTTATCGCACTACAGCCAATACGATTTATTAAACTAATTAAATCGCGATTTTGCCATAAAACTCTGTCCCTCCAAGTTAGATATATAGGTAGGTGCACCGCTTTGTCTTATGTATATATTTATGTACCCATTCGTCGTAAATTCACGTAATACTTTATATAGATTGGACGACTATATGGGTTGGTCGGGTAACTGAACTATTATATACATCCTACACCTATATTGTATATATTTATACTATATATATATACACTAAGGAACACAGTGAATTTGTCCCGTGAAAACCGTACACGACGAAGTAACATGAACGAAAGGGCCCGCAGGGGAGAGGTTGATGGTGCGTAGGTATGTATATAATATAACTAAGGGCCTGCGATCATAAATTTCGCCGGCGTGGTATATAAACGACTGTACGAGAGTTTCTCATTTGTTCAATTGGCCTCCGTCCGCCCTTTTGCGTGTTAATACCCACATCCCCCTCTCGCGCCACGGAAAACCCGTCCTCTACCCCCCCCCCGTAAACTCCCCTTTACCAATCAACCCGTCACACTGCAGCGCCCGGCTACACTGAAGCAGAGTGTCCGTCGTATACGTATACCATACCTATACATGTATATTGTATATATTGGATATACGAAAAAGGGACACGTAATCTGTTTACTCCCTCTCGCCCGGTTCCATTTATATTAATTAAATTCCCACGGGCCAAAACCAATATATATCTATACTGCGACCACGCTACAGCAGTGTACATATTATATTCTTTTTCTAGGGAAAATCGACTTTTAATACCCTTATCATTCGGGTGAGGCGCGGCAGGGGTCGAGGAATTGCGATCGGGTGGTGTAGAGGGGTATCCCGCCTACACGCGCTTAATGAAGTTGTACACTCCGGTGGCGGCGGCAGTGGTGGTGGCACACTGTAATTAGCCGGCGCTTATACCCCTCCTCCTACCGCCCAAACACAAATCCGGCTACTTAACAGGCGTCTCACACGCGAAATGGACATTAAAAATATTAGGTAGGTACCGAGAAAATAAAATAAATAACGATTTATTATAATATACATATACATATATATCATGTGCTCTCACGAGGAGGGTTGGAAAAACTACTTCGAGACATGTGAAACGACTCTATAATGATATTATCGTTGTGGCGATCGGATTTTTTAGGTGTACGCGCTTGCATAGGGAAGACTTACGGTGCCCTTATACATAAATATATATATAGCGGTGCGAGGGATTTTCAAGTAGGTATATACCTCTATGTACATAAGCATAGGTATATAATATATACTGCATGATAGAAAAGGGGGGCGCCCTACACGCACTGCCATGTGATTATATTGTTTCCGGCCATTTTTGTTCGCGCACTCTTGATTGGTTGCTAAATACAAAAAACGCGCACACACGACATCGTTTTCGTATTATGCACACGCTAATTTCGCCGAGTGCTTATGTATGGTAACCCTCCCTCTATTCGACGTAAAAGACAAATAGGAACGAACTTTTCTATTTCAAATTTTTCCCCTTTGTTTTCTTGTGTGCAAAAATAAATAGAAAAATTTTCTTTCACGATTTTCAAACACAGTGCTTTTTCTACGCGTAACCTATACCTACCTATATGCCTACTTGAACGTAACGCAAGTAATGCGTATATACTTGGCACCTATATTTTTTTGAAGTTTTTCTATAAGCATTTTAAATAGATTATAATATACTTCTACTTACAGGTAATAGCGATAATAATAGTTAATATCGATAAGCATTGCAAAAAAAATACATAACTTTTACATCTGGTTTTTTATTTATAGAAGCAATTCTGATGTATACGTATAGTTTGATTTTTAATCATCAAATTCTTAAATAACTGGATTATATTATATATAGTATATATTCACATAATATATATGTGTAAAAAGTACGAATACACATCAGCGACTTAATGAAATGTATGTAACCCAAAATTATATTAAGTTTTTGTGAATATTTTAATTTTGCATTTTTATTTTTATACCATCGACAACGGCCGTAATTTGTATTGCACACACGCCATTATAAACAGGATTAATCATTATTATTATGGGTAAACGACGTGATACACGGCCGTAGGCGATTTGTATTCTTTTTTTACGGTATAGGTATATATATATTTTAATATATTATATAGTCTTGTAACGTATAACGTCCTTTATTATAATTATTTTCTATGGTTGAAAATAACACATTATATATAATAAAACTATGGCAAACGCGTTAAAATTAAAAGTAACAATAATGTGTACTAAAAATTATAATAATAAGAGCGTAAAAAAAACGAAGAACATGATGAATTACTGACTGGTCCAACGAGATTAATGTACGGCCAATCAAGTACTCAACGATGGGATTTTGCATATATATGTTTACCGGTACCTACATTTTAATATATAATAAACTCCTTGGTATTAAGATAGCTTTTCGTCTAATGCTATATACAATAACAGATTAACTTCATACCACAAAGACATAAAAAAAGGCCCCTCGAGATTTGTTCGATGTTCATATTATACACTATACAAATATATATAGAACGATGCACTTTGCGGCACCACCCAAAAGTATATTATGTTTTCAGTATGCAGTGATGGCATTTTACGACGTATGCCCTGCAGGGACCAATTATTAGAATTTAATCCCCTTGAAAACCCTTCGATGATATGAGGCTAAAAAAATAAATCTCGCGTGTACACAACAGTGTATGTATACCTATACCACAAGTTAATTCAGTTAGAAGAGAGAGGTAGATGCGGAGAGAATGACAGAGACGAAAAACAAGAGGTATTGAGAGAAGAGGAAAAAATGAGAGGTAGAAGAGCAAAGGGAAAAGTCGTAAAAGTCGTCGAGGCTGTAAGTTTACGAATTTTACAGGTCGCTTGTTGCGGAGGGTCGTATTAATGTATCTTGTCGCGGTTCTAAATCGCGTGACCTTTTTCTCTGCGGCAGAGCAACCATCATTCCGCATCCACCCACTCTTACTGTCTGTACGTTTAGAAGACAATATTATAATATTATTTGATATTAATATCAGGTATGTATTTAATAATTACGGTATTAGGTATATTATGTATTAGGTATCTATGGTCGTAAAACGAAAAAGAAAACCGTGTTACCCTCCACCATAGTAGTCGGCCGACGACGACTGGTTGTAAACTTATAATTAAACGGACGACGCGCGCGATATCATCATCAATGAAGATTTGTCTGGCGGTATTTTTTTTTTTTTATTACACAGTAAATGAAGTCCACGATTTTATTAGGAGATCCAATAAAATAAACCCACAATTTATAATTTATTTTTTCGCCAACGGCCGTGGCGTCTCAGCGTTGTATGTGTAGGAGAGAAAAGTTAAATCGTAAAACATGTCCGAGAAATAAAAATATACACTATATTATCGCCCATATATATAATAATATAATATATATTATATTGTGTTGTTTTTATTATTATTATCTACATAGACGCATTATAAACAGTGGAGCGAACACCAATGGAAACAATTTAGCGGAGTCCATAGATGCCAGGAATAACGGTGCGGTCTTTAAAAATAGTATAGACGTATATTATATAGGTTCGCTGTCGATGTATAGCCGCGCAAATTTTATTATTACAGGCTTATAAAATGAGAGAACATTTTTTTTTTTATTAACTTCTTATATACAATCGCACGTTTTTATACCTACGATTTTGTTGTATAAAAAACTGTAATACTAAGGGTATTTTTATTAGACAGCAACTTTCATCAACTGCGGCACGGTAATGAAAGAAAAAACTACATACACATCATACCTATAACGTATCATAGGCTACCTACGCTCAACACGGGCAAACAACAGACAATAATAGTAATAAAAAAAATAACGATACACGATAGACGTGTGTGCCTAGGTAATTAAAAACAAAAAAAAATAGTGGGAGAGAGGCAAAAGAGAATTTATTGTTGTAGTTGGATGCAGTAAAGGCGCATATATTATACTATTACACACGCGTATCGTTTACTCGTGTATAGTCTAGTAGTGAGTGTGCAAGTCCAGTGTGTGTGTACTGTGTAGTAAACACAGTCTGCGAACCTTAGGTGCATTCATATATAGAAAGACTGAGGTGGAGGAACACGAGGATTTTGTTTAATTTTACCATAGATGTCGTTATACAGATGTTTACTGCAGATACTCGAGAGTTTAGGCCATTGAGACACAACGGCCGCAAAAAAGGTCGATGACGATGATGAATCAAAGCGGATGTAGGTAAACTGTAAGCGGGGCACAAAATATGGTCAAGCGGATGCAACAACACAAGAAAATATGTACAT